GACAGCTTTCTAGCTTTGTGTCCCGCCAAACAAGAGCGAACGTCAAGTCAAGTCGAGGATAATAGTATAAAACCAAGCTCGAAAGCAGGACCCCCCATCCATCCATCGTGGATATTCCCCCAGCCTTTTCCAGCTTATTTGTGAACCTTGAAGCGCACAATTCGATGTTTGGCTGTGGTGGGACTGCGCTGTTGCGATGCGCGCACCGCTCGATCGAACATCTGATCATGTGGAGTCGCTGCGCGGCCGCAAATCATAAACAACGCGCATATCGCCTGCCGTCCTCGCCTCGCTCATCTGCTTTCTCAAGATCGTCAGCAGCAGCACTCACAAATAGCACAGGATGCGCAAATTTCGCTTGCCATGCTCTTCACAACCGACACATTGTGTATCGTGCAAGACGTACAAAGCAGGACAGCGGCGCTACGAGTCGCAGTGCTCCCAAAAAAAAAAACAGCCCAACGCATGTATTCATGGAGAAGGAGCAAGGTATCTGCACAAAGCCAAGATGGACAGTCCCACTTTGCCGTGAAATCTCAGCTCGTACTCTTGACCGAGGCTCTTGCAATCCTGGACAAAGAGCACATCTCCATGGTCCAATTGCCAAGTGGCGATCACTCGAGACCGGGGCCGAGGGCTCGACGCGCCACGTGCGCGCTGGGCAGGGTTGCTGGTCGAGCTAGTCTGAGTGCTGAGGACGTCAGGTTTGCGGGATAGGGTGATGTGCGCATCGCTACCGAAATGCACCAGTTGTAGCCAGCCATGCAAGTCAGCATGATCGAGCGGCTGCAAGTCCATCTTGACCCCCACACAAACCGTCGCATCATTGATCGCATTCCTGGGTCTCTCTGCGAAGCGTCTGGTCGCATCGTCGGCATACTGCGCCACATCCAGAAAAACTTCGGGCGCCCGTTGCAAGTCCAAAAGTTTGGACGTGTACAGTCCTTGCTGAGGCGACTGCTGGCAATCCGCTTTCACGCCGCATATGCGCGAAACGTAAAGATTGGCAGTCTGTCGAGAAGAGCTTGATCCGCGTTCGTAAGGCATGTCGCGCGCAATCAACCTTTGTAGCAGATCGTCTGCTCGATCCAGCCACGTTCCGCTGGCCAAAAAATGATGCATCAAAGGCGCTGCTGCTGCTGCTGCAGTGTGAGTACGGCCCAGCAGCTTGCTTGCACCGTTTGCAGTCGTGGGCCGAGTGGGTCTGCTGGCGTAGGTGACGGATTTGATGCCGTCGGACCAGACTGTTGCAGCGTGCTTTATTTCCGCTTGAAGATCCACAGTGCAATGCCCATTATCCATACGCGGACCTTGATATCTCAGTCGAAGGCGCCCCATGTACACATCTCGCTTCACCATCAGCGCAGGGGCGGAATAGTCGCGCTTGCAATTGGGACACGTCCAGCCTGTCCAGTGAAGTCGAGGAGTCGCGCATCCGCACGCTGGACAGATGATCGAAGAGCAGAGCGTAGGGACTGGACTTCCCGAAAAGCCGCTTGGGCTGTGCGTCGGCGGCATTACGTACAAGGGAGGGTACAAGCTGCACCTGTCGAAACGTTGGTCAGATGCTGATCGAGTCCAATTGCTGTCTTTTCCCTCCAAACTGGCGTTGTGTTCTCTTGGCGTCATTGAGGCATGGAACCACGGCTCGCCCTGGCTCTTGCTCCATTTGAAGGTGAGGCGCAGATGCCACGCCTCACCTTGAGTCTGCTGCTCCACAAGGTGGCAACCCGTGATCGAGAATCTGCCAAGCAGGACCACATCGACACCGTCGGGCAAAAGCGTTTGCAGAAATTTCTCCCCGTCTGATGTCGGAAGGCTGAGCTGGGATGAGGATGCTGAAGATGCGCTTTTTATTTTCTGAAGAAAAAGACAGACCTGCGATCCTTGCTCGTACGACTGAATTAGCGCGAGCGGTCGTGCGAGTCCTTGCAACTTTTGCTTCACAGGCGCCTTGTCCGACCAACAAGCTTGACGGGCCGAAGGCGGTGGGAAGCGATACTGCAGCACGATGCTTTGCTCGTCGACGCTCCAAGCATGCAAAACGGTCAAGTCGCGATGAAAGCCGAGTCTGAGTCCTCTAGCATATCCGCCTTGGCTGATAAAGGTGTGAGCTTTGGGCGGGAAAATGGGCACTGCGAGCGCAAAGGTGTCGACATTGATGGCCCAGGCTTCTGGAGCTTGGTGCATCCACTCGATCGCTGCTTCGTGCACCTGGCTGACGTCATGGCGCTCGAGATGCCGCTCAAGCTGCCGATGCTGCTCTTGCTGCGTCTTATCGAGCAGCTCGGTGTCGAAAGCTTGCTTCGTCGAGCGTTTAGCCTTCTTCCGAGGCCGAGCGGTCGAGAGAGCCTCAGAGGTTTCGGAGCATTCAAGCACACTCGACGCATCCGATCCGATCATGACCTTTCCCACTTCGATGCCATTCGACTTTACTCTTCTCCGCTCTTTCTTCTCCACATTGTCGTCATCCACCTTGCCCTCAAGCTCGCCTTTTGCACGCTTGGTCTTGATCTCGGGCGGTTGGAGCAGCATGGGCCGCTGCTGCGCAAGTTGCACCTCCTTTCTACAAGGTCCACTCTTTCGCTTGGCATGTCTCGTCAAAACACGTGTGCTCGCGCAAGCTGGCCGAAGACTATCCTGTGACTCGTCATCTCGATTGCCATCCTCTGCTCTTCCTTCTTGCTCGCATGCACCAGATGCGCGCGCTGGTACGGATGATGATGCCCGAAAAGTCGATGGGTCGATGGCTAGAGAGGCGAGCAAAGAGTGGGTAGCCGCGCGTTGTGGGTGCAGCAGTGCGTCTCGAACTTGCCGAGCAGCAGAGTTCAAGCGCACAGCTGCTGCATGACTACGCTTCTCTAGTAGCGCAGGCGCCACAGCAGATGGGTTAGGCTCGCTCATCTGTCTGCCTCCTCTGCCATACCGATCGGCGTGTCGTGTGCGAGTGCAAAGACGGATCTCGGTGCGGTGGAGCAGAGACGAGTGTAGAAAAGAGGTTGCTAGCTTGTACGTCGCAATAGGCGAATCGTCAAGAACAAAATCGGCGACGCGTTCCTCGCTCGCTCATCGATCCATCATTAGCTTCACTTCAAGATGCGAGACACTTGCTATAGCGCAGTTCCCGGGCTCTGTCTACTCTCTCTGTTGATCGCGCCAACGCATGCGCTTCACGCAAAATTGACACATCAAATGAGCCGTAGAAACACAAGTCGAATCTCATTAAAGTCACATGTCAAGGGTAGTTGAATTGTGTCATTTAAAAGAGCTAAGCAATCGTGAAAGAATAGGCCGAAAGCTCCTTCCTTATGCAGAGCACTTGGGCTAGCAGCTGACGGCCAGCGGCGAACATGTTCGCTTACCAAAGGCGCTGAGAGAGGAGCAGGTCATTCTCTGGCTGCAGACCAACGCAAGCGCGCATAAAGTTGGTGACGGCAGAGCGTTGACGAGCGAGAGAGTTGACAACGTCGCTGCCGGGCTTGACGACCGGAGCCTTGAGAGAGTAGCTGAGCAAGCTGAGGACAGAGTACAGGCTCTGGAACTCCTCTGGCTTGGCAGGGCTGTCGGCTGCAGGTCCCTCGCGCGCCGAGTAGGTCACGCGAGTGCACAGCTCAGCCATGATGGCCAAGTCGATGAGCAGAGGGCTGGCCAGCAGCGAGTCTTCGCACAAGTTGGTCAGGTACAGGCGATTGCGACCGCCGAGGCAAAGCTCGGAAGTGTAGTCGTCCATAGCCACCTTTTGATCGCCAACAGCGGGAACGTGCTTGATGACGACGATGTGGTCGGGGTGCTCGCCCTTCTCGGCAACAGCCTTGGCGCTGCTCGCCTTGTCTGCCTCGCTTCCACGCTTGTACAGCAGGTGGTTGGCGTACACCATGTCGTCGACGACGCTGGCCTTGGAGATCTCCTTGGAGCGGAATTGACGGGCAGAGGACAGGTTGTAGCCGTCGTTGTTGCCCAGGTGATTGTAAGAGGAGATACCAAGAGGCTTGATACCAGCGTTCACCAGGAAATCAGCAATCACACTCTTGACCTTGGTCTGACCAGTCTTGAGGTCGTCACCGCCGATGAAGGCGCGGTGGCGCTCAGCAAGCTGGATGGCACCAGGAACGAAGGTGTTCTGGGGAGCACCGTTGATGTAGGGGGCATTTTCGAGGATGCAGGCAACAGCAAAAATGGTCGAAGGCGAAACCTCCTCATGGCTGTTCTTGACAGCGTTGAGAAGGTTGTCGGCAGTGTCGTTGACACCAGGGATGATCTCGGCGTAGCGCTCAGTGTTGGCAGTCCAGACGACGATGACCTTGCCAAGCCCGTTGGCTTGCTTAAAGTCGCGAATGTCCTTGCGGACGTGCTCGACGTGGGCAGCCTTGTCATTGCCAGGGATGACGTTGTCGGCACGCTCGCCTTGGTTGGCAGCGATGAAGTCGGGGTAGTAAACCGATGGCAGGGGCTTCATGTCGGCCATGTACGGGGCGACCTGGCGCTGAAGGTCATAGTCGAGGACCTTGGCGCGCGTCATGGCGTCAGTGAGCGAGTGGCCGCTGATGTCCCATCCTCCGACGACGAAGTCGTTGGGGTGGACAGTTGGCAGCAGGTTACTGAAAGGAACGTACACGTCCTTGCCAGTCTCGGGGTCTTCACCAAGACGAATAGTCGAGGCGCGCACGAGCGAGCCGTAGTAGTTGGGAGTCTGGAGACCCTCCTTGTTGTGCCACGTGATGTTGTGCTTGTTGGCTAGAATGCAAGCTGAGATGGTGGTACCATTGTTGCCGCCCCAGCCGACGAGCATGAGACCAGTCTTGGGCACCTTGGTCTCCGTCTTGAACTCGTAAGTGCTCTTGACTGGCTTGGCCACGTACTCGGTCTTGCCCTGAGCATTGGTGCTCTTCTGGACGTGGGTAGTGTTGTACTCATAGCGACTCTTGATATCCTCGGCGCTGTAAGTGACATTGGGAGAGTCGATGCGGATGGTCTCCTTGTCCTCATGGCGAGCAGCCGTGGGATCGATAGGGGCTTGAGCAGCTTGGGCTGGCGCGCCGTTGGAGGCGAAAGCGCCGTTAGGTCCAGATGCGACAGGGGCCATCTTGATGATTTGAGAATTGAGAAAGTTGAAAGAGTTTGTTTCGGGAATTGTCAAATTACTTTGATTCTAGCGGCGCAGGGCACGAGTGCTTGTTGCCACGGTGAGTGTTGTCTGAGGAAAGCCAGCAAAAGGATGTGTAAGCTCGTGTGCATCCAGAAAAGCTGGCGCTTGCCTTTGCATCGAAATCCATGGCTTGACGACACAAGACGGAGTGGCAATGCTGGCGACGCTGTCAAAGCGATTTTGGTCACGAACAAGATACTCACGGCAGGAGCACAAAGAGTTGGCAAAGATGTTGGGCAGTGGCTTACTCTCTAGTGACCCGAGAGCAGATGGGCTACTGTGAGTGTACTTGGTTGTGTGTTAGAGGTTAGGCGAAGGGTGAGACCTTGGCAGAGCGCTTCAAATGTTCGATTGTTGATGGTGATGGTGGGGAGGACGAGACAGTGTGCGCTACGAATGAGCCTTTTATCTCTTCTGTCCAAGCCAGTCGAGCAAGCACTGGGGGCAAGGATTTTCACGGAGAGGCACTGGGGCACTCTTGACCTGCCCTTCTAGGCGCGAAGATCAGATCGCAGCACCTCGTCTGACTCTGCAGAGTTGTCGGCACGAGCAGAAGTGTGACTGCTGCTGGTGCGCGTGGCACTTTACCGGCGAAAGATCGGCGCACGCAGAGCAGATGCGCGTAGCATGCACGCGCCCAACTACGCTCCTCCTCCTCCTCCATGCAGCATGCAGCATGCAGCATCAATGCTACATCACCACCCTGCTCTGCCGTGCCGCCCTTCCTTTCACTCGGATCCATTCACATTCAGAATTCGGGTGCAGTAGGTAGCGAAATGGTCCAGCCTAGACTCTGCTCGTTGTACTCGCTCGCGCTCACCCTTCGGGCATTCCGCCAGCGTGAGATCTGTGTTCAGTCCCTGGCTGGTACTACTACTACTCAAGACTGTACAGTCAAGAGTGTGGACACAACAGCTGCGCTTGCCATCCTTATCGCGTGACCATCCGCCGACCCAGCTGAAGCGATGCATAAACCGTACCTCGGGGGTTGCAGCTCGGCCAAAGCGCACAACTCTTGACTTGTAATCACGAATCACGACTGTCTGCCTTCCTCACGTCGACAGCGCTCATCGATGGCATCGAGTTGAATGGGGGACATTATGTTGCCCACAAGGCAGCAGCGTTCGTACCATTGCCATCGGTGATCGATTCAAAGAGGCAGCTGCTGTCAACTCACGCGACTGGGACACGAGCCCCGCCAGAAATTCCAATTCTTGACAGAAACAGAATCACCAAAAAAGTTGCAGCAGCACCCTTCACCCTCCTCGTTCGGCGTGGCTTTCATCGCGCGCGCTCCAAAAATTGAAGGGTTGTGCAGCAGCGACATGCGGTTGAAGCAGGAGCTGCAGGATGCAAAGCACTCTTCTCTCGCAGCAAGGCTGTGCGCATACAGTACCTGCTGCTGCTGCTTGAGTGCCTCTCCCTGAAGCCGGCCCCTCAGCAATCACAATGTGAATGTTCACCATTTCACAACAGTCTGAGTCACCAATTGCGGAGAGCTCTCTTACCACGCTACTGTAGACAGGCGGCAAGCTTGCCGCGTACTGCACCGCTTGATAGAAAGCTGCACAAGAAGCAGATCTCATGGGGCCTGCATGCAGTGTGCTGCAGACGAAAGTGCTCGGAGATGTCCTCCGAGCTGCATCATGCGTGCTTAAATTTGAGCGCCAGCATGATTGCATGGCCCCCCAACCCTCGCGGCTGTCGTTGGTCCGGCTTTCAGCAGAGCGCTCTCTCGTACGAAAAGCAAACGCTGCAGCTCCCAAGCGCACGTGATGTAGAATCTGGATCCACTTTCGACTCAAGACTCTCGACTTGACTCTTCAAGACTCTCTCTTTCTCTTGACTTTGACTCAAGACTCGAGACTCCTTTTCTTGTCCATCCAGCATGGCTTGCTTCCCTTTCGGTGCTGCTGCGACTTGCATGGCTTTCTGCGCACCCTGAACACATCAAGACCTGCTCATCCGGAGCACACCTGACAAGTGTCGAGTTTTGACGTCTGTCTGCCGCCTGACATTGACAAATCAGGAGGGCATCGATGATGACTCGCGTTGCTGTCCACTCATTGCAGCAAGCCAGAGGCCGATCGCACTGAGTGGACGCCAGCAGCAACGCCATGCCGAGACGTGGATGAGACTTGTAGAAGCCTGATGTGACATCGTTAGACTGGAGTCAAAAGCGGGCTACTCTAAATGCTTGAATATCGAATCATCATATGAACGTCAGTTGGGCTCCGAGTTCCGATACAACAATCGTGAACATTTTCAATGATTCGTGATTGATGTGACTGTACTCACGACTGCAACGACATGCACCTCGCCTATCATGCAGTTGCGGGGGTGTTGAGGGTGCCACGAGAAGAACGACGGACTTGCAGCCCCACTCTCGTCAGCTGACCTTCCAAGTCCACCCAAACGCCGCGCTGCAACTCAAAAGGGAGGCATCGAGCGGATGCTACGAACCGACGGCCGAGGGTCCTGACATTCAGATCGAGGCTGTGTGGAGGAGGCAAAGCACGTTAAGCATGATCGAG